TGCCCACGTGGGTATGGGTAACGACGGAGCGGTAGCCAGCTAAGGCATATATTTGCCGTCCACTTTTTTGGTCATGCAGTCAATACCCGTTACACTCAATGGTCATAGGTAATACAATGAAAACAATACAATGTTAAAGCCTCTTCGTACTTCCCCGCCCCTGTTTACGTCCTTCTATTAGGCGGAATGGGGACACCTCAAAAAACGATCGTCGTAAGCGAAAACGTCCATCATTATATTCACAATGCGAAAGCCGTATTGAACGTGAATTGTTTTAAAACGATATCTAATTTCGCATTATCTATATCATACAGTGTTCCCATGCCTGCCGTGAAAGTCTTCAGGTCGCGAATATGCGACCGGATCGATTAGCATCAGCTTGATCAGATTAGCCGGGATCCGGTCTCACGACAGACTAAAGAATAGGAGAGGCCGCAGATGACTGGCTGGCACGTCGCATCCCCGCGCTTAATCGTACTCCCACACTCCCTAATCAACAGCCTACACTTCGTTAGGTTTTCACAACTAAAGGTATAGGGTAAGCGGCACAGATCCAAGTTCCCCCGCATGGCCCTGTATGCAATACGACAGTTTGTTCGCTGGTTTCGCTGAGGTCCACTGTGCGCCTTAGAGCAGGATCGTACAGAGAGGGCGAATAACGTGCGAATTAGTTTTAATTAGTATAGTAAACTTGAGTTGTATTCATCACACTCTTTTTCCCTCACCATCCTTAATCGGTGTCAAAATAGGGTCAAGAAGACCAGATATGCAATTAGACGCAGATGGCAGACTCAGCATGAATGTGGCATTCATGCTTTCAGGCCCCCCGCTGTTTGGCATTCGATTTGGGAGCGCAACCCAAAGAACGCCTGCCTTGCTGTGATCTGACCATCGGGTGGATGCAGAACATATACAACGTGGTCGTTTAAGAGGGCCAGATTCTGTAATATATGGTTTACAGGTTGACTAGCATTACAGATCGGCAATGATGTAGAGAGTGTGAAGACATGGACGACAGAATATTGCCTGTCGTTTGGGTTTTTTTAATTTCAAATATTCTTTTGCTTACAACTACATGTGAGTTCTCTAGAGTGAAGAACCATGACAGTCAGAAATAACAATAGCTGAAAGACGTGCGAAGGAAAATCAACGCTAACGTCCTCATACGCATCCTTCTGCTGACCGTCGCGAGTATTAGTTTTGTGGTCACAGTATCCGGCTGC